CAAGCCCCAATTCTTTTATCACTTCTTCCACGCCATTCGTAGTTACCGTGTCTTCCAAACCGATAATCGTTTCTTCATCTTCCGTCAATTCCATGCAAGAGAGCTTATTTGCTAAATTGTTTTCCATTGTGATAACAGAGGTCAGAGCAAAGCAGAAGGCGTACTCACTCCGCCCCCAGGGGAGAAGACAGGGAGTAGACCAACAGGGCAGGGAGAGAACACGACTGAGATTAGAGGGAAACGAAGGGACTGAGACAGCAAAAAGAAATCAAGGAATCACAAGATGAAGGAAACCAAGGGTCCTCCAAGATTGTAGGAAGACGAAATGTCACCACTGAAAAGGGAGTGATAGAACAGAGAAGCTCTCCAGAGACAGAGAAAAAACCAATGGAAAGTCGGTCTGCGAATCGTACAGTTTGAAGACATGACCTTTCAACCATGAAAGTTTTTATCACACGTTATGTATAACATTAACTTGCGATTTATTGAGATGACTTGGTACTTTAAGATTAGTAGCTAGGTATTTGATGACTTCAACTTGTAAGGCAATTGCGATATATTGGGAAGAAAGGAAGGGGAAACAAAGTTTTGGGTAGTGCATAGTAATTAAGGGGTCGTTTGGAAGTTGTGATTGTTAAATAGATGTATTGTTGAGAATGCATGTATAATATTATACATGTATTGTCGAATTTGATGCATTGTAGAATACAACGTTTGGTATGTGTGATTGTGTATGTCGCATCAGCTAAAAGCTGAGACAAAACAATCTCAACTCAACTATCTCAACAATCACAACTCAAAGTTGAGATATAACAATCACTCAAAATGAGTGATAGTTTCTGTCACATCACGTACAGTGACTCGACTCTACTGTCACTCCAGGAATTGGCCAAGTGTAACCACTTCCTAAAGCGTAGTATAGCGGGTTTAGGTTTAATTATCAACCCGGGTCCTAGATCTGATGACTACTCAGTGAATTCTTGTTATCTAGCAATGAAACTAGCATGCAAGTCTAAACTATCAAACTACCAAAGCAAGTAAACGGTTGTATTCAGGTTAAAGAGGTCACCCGGATATGGTTCCCCCTAGACTGCAGTTAAGTCGGATTGTAATTACCAAGTTCAGTTTCTATGATAGTTATACTGCGGAAGGTTCTTAAATAGCCTGAAGTCTCGACTAAAGGTCTTCAGACCCTCTCAATCTGAGTCTCTAGCGGGCGACTAACCTCCACCGGAGTAAACAGATTGAGGCCCTAAGAACAAAACCTCCACTACCGGAGTAAATCCGGTACAGAATAGTGAGTTGGTTCCTCGACTAAAGTCACCAACTCCCTATCTTCAATCAAAGATGCTCTATCAACCTAGGCAGATATTCTCATTCTAGGTTAAAGCAGAAACAACAGGAATTTGATCAGGATTCAAGTCATTCAATCATTCAAACCTCAATCGAATATAATCAAATCATAGAATCAGTACTTGGGTTCATACAATCAAAGCCTAACATACAAATCTAGGGTTCTCCATACCCAGATGAATGGGAGAACTACTCCATGGAGACAGAAGCAAAAGCAGAATCAGACGCGGAATTCATACTGTGAAGGATGGATTCCTGCTCCTGGACGTTGATCGGCACTTCTCCAAGCTCAAACTGGCCTCCAATGGTGTTGAAGAACAATCTATGGCACTTGGAGACTCTTGTTCGTCACTTTCTCTCTCTAGGAATCGTTCTATCTCTCAAAAACTCAAATCCCCCTGAATTGTGGCTGAAAATCTGCTTAAAAGCATCAGTGGCCAAAGCACGGTCGAAGGCACGGCCGTGCTTTGCCTGACTCCGCTCGTGTTTCAGCCAGGTTTAATTACACGGCCAGCAACTGGTGCAAACACGGCCGTGCTTTGCCTGGACACGGCCGTGTTTCTGCCCGTGTTTTTAGCCAATGTTCGCCCCACTTGAAATTGCTCTCGGCAGTAAAAACACGGCCACAGAACACGGCCGTGTTCTGTTTTAGGTCTGCCCGTGTTTTGGCTCCAGCTTGACGAAACGACCTCCGAATGCCCCGAAACTCGTGCTTAGCCTTTCTTTTGACGCCTGGGACCTGAAACATAACAAAATAGAACAAACCGGCGTAAAATAGGCCAAAATACACGACTATGCCTCTCAAACGGATAAGAATTAGGGGTGCAAATACATGCAATTACATCGTTATCAAATTCCCCCACACTTAACCGTTTGCTTGTCCCCAAGCAAACCAAGTCAGACACAAGGTAAGCTCAAAACAACAAGGCATGATATATCGGCACAAAACTTGTGGATCATACTGGCTTTCGATCAGTAACACATGGACAACTTCAATGACAACCTAGACAACCACCACTGATGACATTCGAATGCAGCAAAAATCGAGCAAAGGAAGAGTTTCCCTTCTGTCCACCAACCAACATAGACTTTAACTCAACCACTTGTTCAAAACAGTCACATCATGCACAAAGTTCAAGGTATCAGAAGTAAGACCGAGCAATCTAGGTCCTCACCGGGATAAAGAGTATAAAGAATAAGAGAAAATGAATCGCTCACTCTCGACCAGTGGGGTCAGGACAATATGATGCGAAAAATGCGCATGTTCGATCTCTCAATCCCTAACATCTCTTCATCATGAATGCAGCCTCTAAGTGCTAGAGTTCACAAATGGGGTGTCATCATTAACTAATCCGGAGGTCTTAGACACAGGTTCAGACGACTGGTTAGGGTCTTGGACATGGGAAAAATGTACTTGTTTGAAACTATTTTTTCAGGAACTTTATCGAAATTTGGGGGAACAATGTACTTGTTTGAAAGCTTCACCACTGCTTTCAATACTTTACCGAAGTACTTAGAGATGGTGGCTGTAGAGTGCTGAAACCTTTCAGCACCATCTCGAAAGTCTATGGCATGAACTAAAGTTCGTAGGAAGATTGCCACTTGTTCTTCAACAATGACTCTCTTGGTAGATTCCAACAATCCTTGTTGTTTCAATTCATCGCATAAAGCAATACATGTTTCTTTATAAGTTCGTATTTCTTCATATATCCTAATCGGATCACCACGCCAAAGTTCTTGAACCCATTGATGTCCTGGCAATTTTGAGTTTCTACATGGTTCTTTAGGCAAATTCAATCTCTCATTCTCCAACAATGCCAAATATATTATCAGATTTCTATTCATCTCATCATCAGAATCTGTATCAGAATTTGCCATTCCGTTTATGCATAGATAATATATTCGAATTAGAAAATGCACAAACAAACTTCAAATACATAATACTTGATCAAACAAACACTTAAACAAACTTAATCCAAAGTACAAGCTCACATAACCCTGTTTAGTAACCATAAAATGGCCACAGATACATGAAATAAACAAAGCTCCATAAAACATACAGCAAACGTAAATACTCAAACTTGAACTCTAAAACACATCATCATCAAATGAAGCCCTCTTTTCAAGCAAACGTTAGCAAACATCAAACCAAACTTCCTAACACTCCATCCTTCTCTTCTCCGTCATGCGTAAGAAAAGCCCTGTTTTTAATGCCTAGTCATGTAAAATATCTAAAGCCTTCACAAAAATATCTGCATTCAGTCATGATATCAAAATCCTTATCTGGTGAAGTTACTTCATTCATTCATGCATTCAGTCATGATATCTAAATCCTTATCTGGTGAAGTTACTTCATTCACTGGACCTCTAATAGAAGAGTTGGCTTGAGAAGCCATACGCATCTCATTCTTCATTTTTGCCAAATCAGCCATGTCAACTATTGCCTTCTCTATGGTAGAAGAGAAGGTTGATCTAACTGCTTTTCTCTTTTTCCCTTTAGAATTTGCTTTGCCCTTCAATTCCTTTGCAAGTTCAGTTGTCTTATCCATATTACTTTCAGAAACTTTCTCCTTGCTATGATCCTCACTGCTGCTGTCTATAATCTCCCGTGTAGAAGGTAGTGCATCGTTTCCAGTAGCGGTAGTATCCCCATAGACAATGCAAAGTTTTGGATACTCCGGGAAACCATACTTCCTAATGCTCTTAGCCACTCTATCCGACTACAAAAAAATAATAATATTTGAATCAATTCAAAGTTTAAAATAATAAACATACAAAACTTCACAATAGACAAAGAGTCAATTACCTTTTCCCATCTTTCCCAACGTTCATCAGAGCCATCGATCTTCCCTGTTGCCGTAGTGTAACTAACTCCAGTCTCACTAATGATTGTCGTGAAAACCCTATGATGAATGAATGAAGCTCGTAATGATGAATGAAGCCTGAAGGTACTATTCAGAATGAAGCCATGTCGGAATTGTTGAATCAATTCGAATACATTCTCGATTCCGATCGCCTCGTGTAAGCACCGTCATCAAATTCGATTCAGGAAGTTTCCCCTTTGTTCAATTTATTCGCTCAACCCTATGTTCAATTTTTTTTTCCGGCTGCTTTGGTGCTCCTTCGTGCTCAGCAACGAAGTAGGGTTCATTCACCCTTCGCAATTTGCGACATTGGAGAAAGATACTGAAGCTGGTAGCTCACGATCGGAAGCCTCGGATGCGCTGGATGGTGGAGATGGGAGCTTCTGGATTCGAGATCACAAACTGGGCATTTCTTCGGAGGTGGTTCTCCGGTTGTACAAGGCTGCCAGAGAACAATTCATGAATGCAATTGCAGAATACAAGAAACTCGGCGACCTATCTCTTCCTTCTGCTGAAGCTCTAGGAATTGAATTGTGGTTATGAAATGCAACAAAGCACTTGTGTTGTTAAGCCCTGATTTCGGGACTGCTTGGAATTCCAGGTAACCAATTTGAAATTTTCTATATTTATACGGGTCTGGTTGATTTGAATCATTATGATCCGGAAATGGTAGATTCGCACCTGTGTTTTAAACCCTCTAGTTGCAGCTTGTTTATGCCCAATGTGCCCCTCTGTTCTTGTTTTTATTTTATTTTTATGAATGACTGTTCTTGATGCAAATGGCAGAAAGTTAATTGTATCGAAGAAGACACAAGCATCAATGTTCACTGACAAGCTCCGCTTGTCTGCCCTTGTCCTTTCGTATTCACCCAAGAGCGAGCAAGCATGGAGCCATAGGTAATATCTATGAAGTACTAGTTGATTCTCTTCATGTGTTGTTTATCTGCTGAACTGCATGAGTTGTTAACTTGTTCTATGCATTTTTCCTTTGCTTTTTAGCAGGAGGTGGGTGATCAAGAATATGGCCAAAAATCGTACAACTTTGCAAGAGATTCTAAGGGAAGAATCTGACCTGGTGGAGAAGATAGCAGAGGTTTATATTAATTTCAAGAACTGCATAATAGTGATTCATGAAGGTTTAACAACTTCTAATACTAAAGAAGCATACTATTTCCGTGACAATTGCATTACGAAATTTTAAAAATTGGAAAAGAAAAGGGGGAAATGAAAGCATTATATTTGAAGTTTATTAATTTCATGTTTGATTGAGGGATCTTTCCAGACATGACTAGGTGTATGCATGTATTGTTAGACTTTCATTTTTCACTCCATACTAGTGGCTTTGAACACAGCTCTGGTTTACTAATTCTTGGGCGTGTGTGCTATTGACCGCTACTCTAAACTTTTTTTGCCTTGCTATCTATGCAGAGATCAAAGATGAACTATCGTGCATGGAATCATCGCTGCTGGTTGGTTTCTTACATGGATAGAGAACAGGTTCGTTTCTTAGATTGGGCAAGTTTTGTTATCTATAACGTCATGACAACTTGACCCTCATGTATGACTAGTATGTAAGAATTTCAGCCCACTGTCTTGAATTGGGCAGCTTTTTTTTTTAACTTTCTCCTGGTGTTTATACATTCTCATTCTAAAACTTTTTTGGGTATTTTGGTTCATACCAGCTGATGCATTTCACAGTCATCTGTGAGCTGCTTTATCTAGGTGTCCTGTCTGTCAGCTTAAGCAAAAATTGCTTTTCCAGGTGATACAGGAACTGAGCAATCCAAAATGTGGGTTGGGTTACATGTTGCTGATCATTCTTGCTTTCATTATCGCATGGTGAGTACAATCCTTGAACATTTAAAAGAGAGTTCATGAGAGAAAGCTATGTATAATTTTACGAGTATTCATTCCATGACATTTCTAGCATCTTGTCACAGTTTGAGTTATCACCTAATTGCAGCGGCTAATCATCAGAATTTTAGAGGATTGCTGTCGTAAGCAAGAAGAGGGGTCTTGTGATTCTTGTGTTGAAGTTTATCTGATCTGGCAGGTATAATGTCTGAACTTTCATATTCACTGCCATCATTTATTAACTCTTTTGCAATTAATCGAGATTGCAGAATTTGTGAGTTAATAACTCTGATGCTGCTGTTTCTATCAGGAGGAGCTTGACTGGAATGAAGAATTAATAAAGCGTTATTTAGGAAGGGAGGTATTTTTCTCAAGCCCATTTAAAATATGTGAATATAGGGATTCTTGACAAACATGAAAATCGATTACTGCGTTCTGCAAATTAAAGTAGTTGTGGAATTGTTTCTGATCACTTTCTTTCCATTGTAACCTGAGTTTCCTCCAAAGCTAACTCCCACCCCAAATCCCTTTTTGTTCACAGGCTCTATGGCTCTACCGTCGCTTTCTCTCCTTATTATGGATAAGACATTTCACAAGCGATGTCAACGATGTGTCTTCCTCACAAAAAAGCCAATCTAGCATCCAAGTGAACGTCAGTGTGTTTTTGGATAAGGAGTTGCTCCTCGTCAATTCATGCTCGGAAGGAAGTGATGATGAGTTTGAAGATTTTGAAGAACAAGCAATTTGTTCAGCATCTTACATGTTATGGTTGACAAAGGTAACAAAATGTCTAGTTATAGTATTTAATTGTTTTGGTTTCGTCAGGTGAACTAATTGCCTTGTGGGAATCTCTTTTGTACAGCAAATCCCTGAAACCAAGAAGTTAGAACTGAGGGAGAAGATAGAGAATGAGCGCCTGGACGCCATGTTGAAGTTGGTATCCCTGAGAGGTCCTCCATTTGGGGCTATCTAAGATTAGTAAGTCTATTTGGCTTCCATGTACGCTGGAAGTGGATGGTATTAATTTGTTGGACGAAGTGTAAAGGTAACAAACTACAGTAACAAATAACTGAATAGTTGTCCACTTAAAAATGATCATGATTTCGCTCGTCTTTGTTTTGTCAAAAGACTCAAAACATGAATGGGCGGCGTTGCAGTTACAGCTGGAAGAATTTATGTTACCCCGAGTCCCATTCCTTTTCGCGTGGTAAGTACAAGGCCCAGCCCAGCAAAGCAGAACATGAGTCGAACACTGCAGTTTTGGGGGATGACGGGAAGGGTATGTGCTTCAGCAATGTTCCCATGCTCAATCTCTTCTTCGACCTTTCATACGTACGTACGGGCACGACTGTATCTATTGAGAGAGTTACAATTTACAAACGAACAGAAAGCTCTCTGACAGGCTGACAGACAACGTACTCGGGTCGACGGCGGCCCCACAACGAACACATCGGAACGAGAGGGAGAGGCCCGTTTTGGAAGTGGGTGGGCACCACGGTCTACCACTTGACTTACGTACGGGATAACTAGATGGAGTATGAAACTAGTCCAGTGTTCAAGCCCAGCTTGTTCATTGTTAATAAGATCGATCCTAAATGTCTGGTCCATAGACTCTGCGAATATATCTTACTAATGGAGCAATCCAGTCTCGATATTGTTTTTCTAGTTAACCTCGTACGGATTTAATTTTAAGTATATTCTCTAAAAGATTTCGTACTAATTTGGACTAGATGAACACGTATATAAAAGGCTTTTTTTGGGTTAATTGAAAGGATGGTCACTGGGTTTACTAAAACCGTTCATGTTTGGTCACTGAAAATATTTAATTTCATTCATGGTCACTAAGATTAGTTCAATAGTTCAAGTTTGGTCACTCTCCGTTAGTCTCCGTTAGTTTTTGCTGATGTGGCAGTCAACTATTATAGTTGACCGTTAAATGAGTGACGTGGCCATTAAAAAAATAATAAAATTTAAATATTTGCAATTTCCACCTCATTTTACAACTATTAAAATAAAAATAAAACTTACCTCCTTACACACTCCGCTCCTCCCAAAAATCAATAGTGACCATTCCCTCATTTTTCCATCACAACTGTCCATTTCCCCTCCTCTGTCCCTATTCTCAATCTTTCCTCTCTCGCCATGAGAGGATTCCCATAATTCTACCACTTCTCCTCAACAACATCCACCGTCACCTACGCCTTCCACGATGAAGCCACCCAACCGCTGCCGCCGTTGACCAAGCAAATTCCCATCCACTCCACCAAACCACCATCCACCGACACCAGATCCGCCTCCGCCGGTGCGACCAAAATCCAGGCGGCGTACCACGCCCGCGCAATCCGCCTGCTTTACAGCACGATCTCGGCCGTGGACGGCGAGTCAGGGGAGATAGAGCGGCGGATCCAGCGGCAGGAGACGGTGGACGCGGTGAGGAGGGAGGAGAGGGAGAAGGCGAGGGTGAACGAGGAGCTGATGCGGCTGCTGCTGAGGCTGGACGCCGTCCCCGGGTTCGATCCGACGGTGAGAGAGGCGAGGAGGAAGAGCGAGCAGGCGGATCGTCGGGATTCAGGAGGTGCTCAACGGGATCTGCGAGTCGAGAGTCGAGGATTGGGACTGGGACGGCGGTGGCGGCGGGGAATTTTGTTGGGATCGGACGGTGGCGGAGATGGAGGAGCGAGTGTGTAGGGAGGTAAGTTTTATTTTTATATTTAATAGTTGTAAAATGAGGTGGAAATTGTAAATATTTAAATTTTATTATTTTTTTAATGGTCACGTCACTCATTTAACGGTCAACTATAATAGTTGACTGCCACATCAGCAAAAAACTAACGGAGAGTGACCAAATTTGAACTATTGAACTAATCTTAGTGACCATGAATGGAATTAAATATTTGCAGTGACCAAACATGAACGATTTTAGTAAACCCAGTGACCATCCTTGCAATTAACCCCTTTTTTTGTATTTTCAATGTGGTACTTGAATTGCCTCACAACAATCCTCCTCTCAAGATAAGAACCACGAACTTCGTGTCCTCTCCTTAGCGATTATTGATCAGTCAACACTTTCCTCGACAAAAGGATTTACCAAATGTATATCCCCATTGATATGCTAGACAGACACAGATCTCCTTTGATCTTCCAAACATAAGCAAATCTCAAATCATGAGGTCACCCAATGAGGGTTTCACCAAACTGACGCCCATCGTCCTGGATCCGCATTCTAATCCAGGCTCTGATACCACTTGTTGAGACTTAATAGTTCCATTAGTATGATATTGTCCCCTTTGGACTAGCCCACATGAATTTACTTTTGGTATCCTCCCCAAATGGCCTATTACTAATTGCTCTAGGTGGACCCTAATATACAAGGGTCTTTTTCCTTGTATTTTCGATGTGTACTTGGATTGTACCATAACAATCCTCTCCTCAAACGCAAATCTCCTTTGATCTGCCAGACAAACGTGAATATCTCTTGATTCACCAAACAAACGCGGATCTCAAATCTCGCAGTCATCTAATGAGGGTCCACCAAACCAACGCCCACCACCTCGAATCAAAACTGAACCAAACTCTAATTTCACTTGTCGAAATTGGATAGCTCAATATTGTCCGCTTTGAACCAAACCTGCACGAATTTACTCTTGAGTTCCTTTCCAAACGACCTTGTACTAATTGCGTTAATGTGATACTTGGATTATCTCACAATCACCTAATTAAGCATCATGAAACATATAAATGGGAGTAGTAGATTATATTATGTCATCCAAATTTGAAGGGCCTTAAGATCTCTAGCAAGGCGCGATATGCACATCTGCGGCCACAGAGATAGTAGTTAAGGCCCTCTCTGGATTTCCCATTGTTGTTTTTCACTTCTCATTTTGAGCGATTGTTATATCTCAACTTTTAGTTGTGATTGTTGAGATAGTTGAGTTGAGATTGTTTTGTCTCAGCTTTTAGCTTATGCGACATACACAATCACACATACCAAACGTTGTATTCTACAATGCATCAAATTCGACAATACATGTATAATATTATACATGCATTCTCAACAATACATCTATTTAACAATCGCAACTTCCAAACGACCCCTTAATTACTATGCACTACCCAAAACTTTATTTCCCCTCCCTTTCTTCCCAATATATCGCAATTGCCTTACAAGTTGAAGTCATCAAATACCTAGCTACTAATCTTAAAGTACCAAGTCATCTCAATAAATCGCAAGTTAACGTTATACATAACGTGTGATAAAAACTTTAATGGTTGAAAGGTCATGTCTTCAAACTGTACGATTCGCAGACCGACTTTCCATTGGTTTTTTCTCTGTCTCTGGAGAGCATCTCTGTTCTATCACTCCCTTTTTAGTGGTGACATTTCGTCTTCCTACAATCTTGGAGGACCCTTAGTTTCCTTCATCTTGTGATTCCTTGATTTCTTTCTGCTGTCTTAGTCCCTTCGTTTCCCACTAATCTCAGTCGTGTTCTCTCCCTACCCTGTTGGTCTACTCCCTGTCTTCTCCCCTGGGGGCGGAGTGAGTACGCCTTCTGCTTTGCTCTTACCTCTGTTATCACAATGGAAAACGATTTAGCAAATAAGCTCTCTTACATCGAATTGACGGAAGATGAAGAAACGATTATCGGTTTGGAAGACACGGTAACTACAAATGCCGTGGAAGAAGTGATAAAAGAATTGGGGCTTGCTGGAATGGTTATTAAAGGAAAGCTTCCATCACTTCGAATCCTCAAGAGGATTCTCAATGAGGCCTGGAAACTGAAAAAAGACTTCGATCTACAAGTGACTAAAGAAGACATACTCAGCATCCAACACTACTGCTATGACAACAAGAACAAAATCCTCTTTGGAGGACCGTGGCATCTGGAACGTCAACTGTTAATTTTCCCGGTTCGAATAAGAAAGTTCCCGGTGAATATGAGGAATCCCCAGATGGCTGAAAAGGTCGAAACTATGTTTGGCAGGTTTATTCGTTGGGATGAGTTGCACTCAGGAATTTCCAGCGAGTACATGAGAATCAAGGTTTCATTATGTACACAAAAACCGCTGAGAAGAGTGGTCAAAATCCAGAGCAGGAATGGTCCAGTTTCTTACAGGGTTGGATATGAAAGAATGTCAATATACTGCTTCAAGTGTGGCCTTCTGGGACATCTTAAAAGATCATGCCCCCTACAGTTGCAGGTGGAAGAAACTGAGAAAACAGAAGACGCTTATGGACCTTGGATGAGAGCTGAATCTCCCCTGAGGAAGTTATCACTAAAAGAAAAAGAGAAATCACAGCTGTTGTCAAAGCTATGGTTAGATGTGTAAGAGGGAAAAATTGTGAACGAGAAGAAAGTCCTTGCGGAAAGGGAGGTTGTTAAGCAAGTTGAAGAGCTATCTGAGGGGCTGCTGATTACTAATGTGCATGAATCTGAACCAGTCAAGTCGTTAGATGGGAAATTAAGTTTAAGGAAAGTGTGTTAAATCAAAATCTTACTGAAGAGCAGAATGTGGTTCAACGGGAAGAGAAAAGGGCAGAAATAGAAGATGTTGAGAAAGAAGCCGAAGGAAGAAGTGGAGAGGAAGTAAACATAAGTAAAGAAGTCAGAAATTGTGGAAAGAAATGGCAAAGAATGGTAAGGAAAACTATCGGGGATAAACAACCAGACCAAGGAAGAATGGATATGGGAAAGCGTAGATTTCCTGATGAAATGGATATTGATGAGGCTCCTCTGGGAGAAAAGCGACAGAAACCCTTCTCAAACCCTGAACTGGATGGTGAATTAGTGGCCCTTGCCGAGGAGCAAGGCCGCCTAGCCCAATGAAAATCCTTAGCTACAACCGTCGAGGATTGGGAAGCTCCTCGGCAGTTGCTAAACTTAAAAGACTGCTCCGGAAGCAACAACCTGATGTTATTTTTCTAATGGAGACTAGAAAGGATGAAAGCGGGTGGAAAGATATTCAGCGTAAGCTAGGTTATTCAGGTGGATATGGGGTGGCTGCGAGAAACGACAAGGGATGGAAAGCTCGTGGTTTATGTATGCTGTGGAATGATGAGGTCTCGGTAACCAAAATCACTGCTACACTTCATCATATTGATGTCTTAGTTGGTCAAGGAGAAGGAGAAGCAAAATGGAGGCTTACTGGTTTATACAGGTGGCAGATAAGGAAGAAAGGTTCAAATCATGGGACC